TAGGGCAGGTCATCTTTCACTGCTGACTGGAATCCTAAACGTAAACAAGTTCTTCCGCACAAACAGATAAGAAGCAGATACTCTGTAAAACCAAGTGGCTCTGGCAAAAAGCAGACTCAGACGCACAAACAGTCCACCAAACTCATACACTTATTTATGAATGGTGTTTGAGCCAAGACATTTGTTTCTAGGGCCTTCCGATTATTGAGAACATTCTTTGTCTGTGAGTGTAAGTGTGTACAGACTGCAAAGCAGAAACTTGTGTATGCAGATGGAGAGGGATGTTTTCCAAGAGGAGCCAAGAGAGTCCCTGCAGAAGAGGAGAGGCAGCGGGTAGAGCGTGCTGGCTGGACTGACCCTCCCTCAAAGGGGCAGAGGCTGACCCCCGCCTGCACTGGAGCGCGTGCAGGGGCCAGGGGCCGCTGTCTCGGTTAGAGTCCCTCTGGAACCGGCCTGTATGCACGCCTGGTGTGTATTCCTGCCTTTGCTTTGTGGAGTGAGTGTGTGTGTGTCTATTTGCAAGTCTGTGTGGGATCGCGATAGTGTCCTTTTTCATTCTACTAGGCCGATTCCCAGCGGAGATATAAGTGCTTACGAGCCTTTTATGATGTGCATTTCCTGTCATAAATAAGAAGCAGAGGAATTCTCTGCTGAGCGCTAACACACTCCATAAAACAAACAGAGGTGTAAACCACACTCGGGGCTAGCTCTGTGAAATCGAACCGACCAACTGTGGCGACTACTAACTTCAATTATTTGAAAGATGATGATGGTTTGCATATGAGTGATAATACGACACATGCATTTGTTTGTTACTATTGAGGAAAGGGATATGATTTCACAAGCTTTCCTTGAGTTCTATGTAAAGTTTTTACCAGTATCACCCATCAGAAAAACAACATTCCACAGAAAATGACCAAGATGCCTACAACTTAAAATAATATTTGGTAAGGGGATATTAATGGCAGTGCGATTGCATACAAAGTCAGTGGAAAGACGCAATTAATTAGACCTAGCTAGGGGCTCGGAAATTGATGTAAAATAACATGTTTGCGAAGGTTAGAAATGTTTCTAATTAAAGCTAAAAAAAAAAGTGCTTTTGTCAGGGCTTTATGAATCTGCCTCCAACATACAGATACACAATGAACAAGGAGAGACTGGAGGAAAGCTATGAGAGAACCAGACTTGCTCTGTGCAGACACAAGGTTGAAGGTTTAACACACAAATATTGAATAACAAGAATAACACATTTGTCCAAAGTCACTGCCGCACAGTCACAATCTGTCAGGGGACGGTTTTCCTACTGTGTTCATGTAAAGGTCCATGTTGCTATGCTGCCTTTAGAGTTGTAGTCATTTGTTGGCTTGCCTAAAAGTCACACTGTGCTTTTGGGTCCTGTTCAGCAGAAAGTAGTCAGTGGGATGAATACAAGAGTACAGTATGGAGACCTAACCACCGTGTGAGCAGACTTGGTGGGGTGCGAGTCTGGGGGTCTGCTCCCAGTCTCTGTGTGTGGCCCTGCCTGCTCACTAGGGCTGTCTGCCCAGCATGGAGGAGCTGATGAGCCTTTGTTAATTAAAGCCTGAGCTCCATGTCATCAGCTTATCTGATGAAGTGAACTAGAGAGAACAACGCCACTGGCTGCTTTGTTCACCCCGGGCTCTACTGTTCACCTCGTACATGTATGTGTGTTTGTGTAACAGTGGAGGAAGTAAAGAAAGACCACCAATTAAAAATAATTGGTACTAATTTCATAAACACAGTGCAACAGGGGAAATATATTTAATCAGGCGCGATCATTAGACGAGCGTATGCTTCACTTCCTCCTGCGACCAGCCCGGTGCTTTAGGACCGCAGAGGGAGAGGAAAGGGAGAAACCGCTCAGTGGTTAAAGGAGAGAAAGAGGGAGAAAGAGAAAGAAATGGAAACAGAAATGTAAAAAAAAACAAAGACAAGAAAAGTTTGAGATGTCGGAGAGTTAGTGGAAAGAGTTATGTGTGATCCCTTTCATGTCCCTTGACTGGCCCGTGTTGCCTTGCCAACCCAAACAGCGCATTGGGGAGGTCCGACTCTCCTCCTGCGCCCCTCCTTGCCCCGTGCACACCCCAGCGACAGGATGAATAACAAACCCAATGTGTGTCTGAGGCAGGGAGAGAGGGGATCAAGACATGAAACCATTTCCAGTTCAAATCTTGCACTAATGAAGCTGTTTGTGACCTCTTTTATTTTGTGACCTTTCCTTCTGCTGTGACTAAATCACCATGTTGGGACTGGGAGTTCACATTCTAACTACTAGTAGACATAGCTGCACACCCACACACTGACACAAGTACAGACACACTCCATCATCCGGAGCTTGTCACGGGGTGAAGAATGAGCAACATTTGGGTTGGATTGCCCTCCTTCTCAGCCCACCGTACCTCAATGTTGAGATGAAGAGAAAAATAAATTAGAAGGAGAGAAAGGAGGTTTGATTCGGCACACAAGCTGACAGGAGACAAATCCAGAAAGACGTCTTTATATCAGTGCCATTTCTACCACAACTGAACGAGGGATTAACAGTAACAGCCTGGTGCTGTTTACAACCTGAACACATCACAAACCACCAGTGCACACCATTGACTGTCTGGCAGCAACCAATCGAACTCCAGGATATAAAGAACTGTTACTAATGTTCTCATTTTGCATCTTTGCCCAATACTTTGTCCACATGTGGTGACTGCTGTGGAGGATTTGGTTAAAGACCTAATTTCCCAGGCTGCAATAAGCGGAAACATTTTCTTGAATAAATGCTTTTCAACTCTTTTATCAAAGACATACCCTAAGACATTAATGCAGACACAGCGCACGGTCCTGAATATGAATTTCACATGCAGGGACACAGTGAGACTGTAAGATAGAGGTATTGTGCTCCAAAACATAGAGACACAAAACTCTTGTTAACATTTGAGGTGACTATTAACGCTGATCTTTACTTCTTATCCAAGATAACAAATACAAACAAACATAAGACCATTCCCTATGGCTCAATGTTTGTTAAAAAACGACACACTAAACACTTGTTTGAGTCACAGTGTTGCACTGACTGATATGTTCCTTTATATCCACGAACATGGGCACTGTAGGTTATTTTGAGTAAACCCATATATACTTTTTCTGCTCCAGTAAATACTCACTAGCGCACCAAATTTGCTCCTGAAAATAGACCCCATAATAAACTCTATTCTCGGGTGATTATAAATGTATGCTAAAGAACTAGTGCCCCACAGTTTCAGGAAAACTGCCAAAATAGTGGCTGGAGTTTCACTTTTTACTGACTGCTGGTATGAACGTTTCTTTACTTTTCAAAAATCTCCATAAACAAAGGAGCATATCCACCTCAGTGATTATGTAACAGACAAACTGTTGCTTTCTGCTCACAATTGCAGTTTGACTGTCAATGTGTTGATGTTTGATCACCACAGAGAACTCGGGTCCACCGGGCCTCACAGGAAACGTAGACAGCAAAACAAACTACAGAGTAAAGTAGTCTGAGGATCACCATTTCCTGAAGATGCTCTTTAATTAAGTTCTCAGAAGGAGGTAGTTAGCGGGGTCGGCTGTGTTGCATTAGCATGTCCTGCACACTTTCCTAAACCTCCTTTTTGTTATTTCTTCTCTTGGTTTTTGCAACTCTTGTGTGTTTACTGTTCTTGTGTTTCTGCATGTGATGTAGCCAAGGGGAATAGAATAAAAGGATTTGTAAAAACATTGTTCTCATGGCGACCGGGTTTCATTCAACGTCTGGTTTCCATTTGAGTCTTTAATTGGGTAGAATGTCACAATCAGTGTTTTGCTCTGGATGCAGAGAGACGACCCCCCGCCTCATGTTACTCCGGCCAAGAACTACATCGCCTGCCATAAAAACTCTCACAGACATTTGTGCGTGCGCATACACACGTTCACGTTTAAAAGCAGGGTGCACACACAGCCAAATTCCTCTGAATGGGCAAGATATGCGCACGAGTGCACACATATCGTTTCTTCTGTCTAAAACACACCTGGCACACTATGACAGGGTAATTTCCAATGAAGTGTTTATAACCGAGAGTCAGGTTTTTAACATGAGCCACATCTCTCGGCCGGAGCCTGCCAAGAGGCCCCTCAACTCCAAGCTGCACTTAGCCAAGTAGAACAGGAAGAGGGAGAGAAAGAGTATAAGAAGGAAAATAGTAAAACAGAGCAAGAATATCTACACACTTTATTAGTGCTTTACATACATTTACCACCTATATATATTCTATATGCCTATGTGCGATATGAGCTAAAACCACAAACAGCAGTGTATTATTTCAGGGTGTGTGCTAAGGTGCGGAGCGGGCCAAAACTAAAAGTAGCTCTAATTATGAACTATGTGGCAGGGGAGGAGGCCGTGTGTGTACCGGCTCAAGGTTAAAGACGCTATTACTCTGGGAGGTGCAGCTGGCTGTGGTGTGGAGGTGGACGGATAATTCATCTTATGGCCTTGATCTGCTCTACCACACGTCTACCAGCTCAGCTAAAGCAGCAATGACTAGTGGTGAACAGAGGAAACTGAAGAAACCAGTAAAAACACACACACGGGAAGTTACAAAGTGCTCCTATATCTGTGTGGCGTGCAAGTAAAGCTCATTGTCGTGGCAGAGGAGCCGTAGATGTGAAAGCGAAGGGTCATTTCTCTCTCACACATGCAAGTTCAGACATTCCCACACTCGACTGTTTTTGTAGTCGCTTGCCAAACTGACCAGAAAGTGTGTGTGTGCTTGAAAGAGTGTGATGCAATGGTATAAGGAGAGAGATGGGGTGTGAAGACTTTGATACAAATCCTCCCATTAACAGCACTGGAGGCCGACAGAGGAAATAAACAATCAGCTTTTCCCACTCTCCTACTCTATTTTCTCTCGTTTTCCACCATCAACACATTTGGCAAACCAAGCATAGCTCCTGGAAGCAATCAGGAAAATTGTGATCACATTTCTCACCGGTGAGTTTCTGGACCAAGGGGCTGAGCTCGATCTCTCGGGTGAGGACCAGGGTGAGCACTCCTATCAGCTCCCTCTCCAGCTTCTCCACTTCCTCCTCCTCCTCTGTGTCCTGGTCTGCAGGCTGCGCCTCGTCAGCCAGGGAGTACAGGTAGACCAGCAGCAGGATCATCTCATCGGGCCCACTTTCATCCTCCCCGGACCTCGAACCGGAGGTCGTGCTGTCCTCGCCTCCACGGGGCTTCATCAAGGGCAGCAGCTGCCTCAGCACAGCAGGGAAGTCAGAGTCTCCAAGAGCCTGTGACACACACACAAACACAGAAAACAGGTGGTCAGTCCAAAGAGAGCATCCTTTGTACCTTATAGGACCGATAAAGATGTTTACTGCCTGTAGTGCAAAGGGTCATGATAAGAATGTTGATTAAAGGGGAACTCCACTGACAGGATAACAATCTGTTTACAGGTGTAAGGGAGTACAGTTGCATATGTAAACACATCCTGTATAAAGCCTTTTTTTTTTACTCTAGAGCAGGGTTGTCCAAACTACGGCCCGGGGGCCAAATGCGGCCCGTGGACCATTTTTAATCGGCCCTCAGTAAATTAAAAAAATATTATGCAGTATTGCCCTCAGATGAAACTTTTGCTTGTCTTTTACTTCTTAAATATAATAATAATAGTAATTTATAAAGCGCCTTTCATCAACCCAAGGTCGCTTAACAAAGAAAGATATAAGGATAAGACATAAAACAGGGGGCAGAAATGGAAGTGTTACATTGCAGGGGGGGGGGAAGAGTGAGTTAATGTTGGAAGGCTTTGTTGAACAGAGTTCAAATATAGATGTAAACAGATATTTTACCGTAGTATTCATGTGTTAATAAGCCCGCTTTTCAAATAAATGCAGTCAATTAAAGCTGAAAACATTTTCTAACAAATCTAAGTTGATAAGAAAAAAGCACAATAACTTATTTTCACAACAAGCTTGAAATAGAGCCTTCTTATTCCCTCTTATTATAAGCAATCTGAGGCTTCTATTGTAAGGAATGAGCTACCAACAAAATAATTGAAACCCTATGTAGAGCTGTGATGTACGCTGATTAAGCATAATTGACTTTTGATTGATTTTGCCGACTTATAACTTTACTTATGAGGCAATACATCACCTCTAGTGAGGGGCCCAGCCCTTCATACATTTGTCTGTATGTGGCCCTCTGTGAAAAGGTTTGGACACCCCTGCTCTAGAGTGATAAGCTCAAATCTTGATAAATTGGCAAATGCCTCGCTCCTCATCTCTGCTTGAGGATAGCAGTTTGAGGCTACATTAGCCTCTACATAGCACCCAGGAATCTCTAAGCAAACTGTCAGCTGTCGAGTTGTATTGTAGGGGTTATGTAGGTGTATGGTTTTGACAAAGAAGAAGAACGTGTGGAATAGCAGCAGAAAACTATTTTAAATTAGCGTTGTTGGGTCCGTGGAGAAGAAGATACCACTCTCAGAGTAAATATGAATGTTCAACCAGCAGCTGCTTAACGTAGCATAGCCTAAAGACGGGAAGTAGCGAAAACTGCACTGTAAAAAACTACATGTTGATTAACTGATTCATTAGCTGTTGAGTAGGGCCTTGGCGCCTTGGCCTATGATTGAGAGAGTATAAACATGGTATGATATTACCTATACATAACACTATATTATTATAAGTTGGTGTCCTTGTGTGAGTTACTGTGAGTTTAACTGTTTACATTTTTAAAACACTCGCAGTGTGAGTGAGCTCATCGTTCCATTTGCTAATAACACAGCTTTGTGAGTGGCTGAGGTAACCCTTAATCTTGTTTCGTTCTTTTGTCGCACGCACGCACGCACGCACTGAGGGTTGCAGTAGAAACCCTGGGTGATGTTGTCTGTATTGTTCCATGTCCGCCTGTGTTTCAAACTATTGTCAGCAAATCACTACTGTGTTTTGTACACACACACACACACACACACACACACACACACACACACACACACACACACACACACACACACACACACACACACACACACACACACACACACACACACACACACACACACACACACACACACACACACACACACACACACACACACCACACACACACACACACACACACACACACACACACACACACACACACACACACACACACACACACACACACACACACACACACACACACACACACACACACACACACAACACACACACAACACACACACACACACACACACACACACACACACACACACACACACACACACACACACACACACACACACACACACAACACACACACACACACACACACACACACACACACACACACACACACTGTTCAGGTGCAGTGACCTGTTTCTGTGAGCCTGTCTCAGCGGGTCTGAATGGTCCTTCACGATGGCTGCACTCCAGTCCAACATGCTGTAGATCAGCGGACCATTTTCAGAACACTGGCCACTCTCACAACAAGAGTGAGCTCATAGACCCATAAAACAAGGGTGCGGAGCTAATCTGTCCAAACATTTAAAAAAAATTATATTTCTGAAAAGTGGAAACAGAGGTGGAGGGTGACAGTGAAAAACAAAGCAGAGGAAGAAAAGCAGTTGAGAAAGTCACTGAGAGATGACAAGAGGAAGTATGCTTTAAATGATAGTGTAAATGAAAGTATTGTTGACAGAGGACTATTTGTGTCCCATAAAGCTACAAATGCCCCTGTGGATATATTTCATTTTAACGAGGAATTCCGCTGTGAGGAGCTTTGTGTTTCCCTCACCAAGACAAACAGGCTCTCAGAATGAGGGTCTTTGGACCTTGTGGTGGGCCCACTGGGGGGATCCTGTGTCTGACCCAGAAGAACTCTTCACTGAGCCAAAGACGCAATACAATAAGACCCCGAGACGGTGAGCCAAAACCACAGAACTGACTGACTGTCCCTGAAGTATTAGCTGAGGAGGAGACTTTTTGGAAAGTTATTTCCCGATTTGAGTGTTCCATCCATACAACTTCCATCAGTGACTCAGCTGGTTTCCATAATCCTATAAAGTTCAACTTAAGATAAGAGTTACAGTCATTGCTGAGTAAACAGCAACTCCAAAAAGGTGACATCTGCATCAGTCACATCCTCTCATCATCATCGGACGTATCAGGAGAACACTCTCCTGTGTGTCTGTTCACTCCAACAAGGCCTCCTCCCTGCCTTAGACCCCAGCCAACAACTCGCCCTTCGGGACCGTTCAAACGCATCAAACCACACATTTTTCTTCTTAAACGTTGTGAAATCAAATACCTCTCCAAGTTACACTCATTGTAACTGCCAAACAATTGGGATCTTTCCCTTGCTAATTCTCTGCCACGAGGAGAGACAGAGGACATGAAGGGTTGTTTTTGAAATGCTAACAGCCAGGCACTTTCTATTTAATCTCTCACTTTAGAACTATTGATTGTCTACACCTCTGTCTGTCCAGGATGACATTCATACAATTCACAGTGTTTTTAAAGAGGCATGCTCACCGTCCGCAAATTACACTTTCATTTTGACCAAAGCTGGCCTGAGAAGTACCTGCTGCCAACTTACTTTGGCATCAAACGCTCCCAGAATGGGTGAGTGGAGAGAGGAGGAGTTGAAAGACAGGCTCTGGAAGGACTCTGGGCCCCCATATCAATTGTCAAGAAGTCATTCCATCACACCTGAACTAGTATTACCTTCTGGGCCTCTGAGTTTTTTGCATATTGCTCTTTAACATTTCTCTTTTCCTCTGATTGACAGGTTGTTTTTCAGGTTGCAAATTGGTCATAGCTGCCAGATTGTTGTACAAGGTTGTTGGTTTGATCAAAGGGACATTTTGTAATTGCACATTCAAGGTTCAAGGTTCAAGGCTTTTATTGGTCATACGAACATTGCTACAGTGTACTTATGACGATGAAAATCTTAGGTTATTGCTGCTACCTTGCATTTTAGTATTGATTAAAAGCAGAAAGATGAAGAGGGAATAAAGTAATTGGGTATTAATTAAACATTTTCAACTTTCATTTGCCTGTAACAGCGGATCCCAGTTTGTTTGCCTTGCGATACCCTGAAAATGAAGCCGTGCTAACTGTGCACTGTGAAGAATGTGTAGGCTATATGTTATCACGTGTGAGAGGAAGCATGTACTGTAACTGTGTCCCTTCAGGAGATCTATAAAAGCTGCTGTCAGCTGCATGCCATGGCGCCACAGCAGGAAATGGAGGTCTTTGGTAAATAACTGAGACTGAACTGAGTGCATTTGAGTGGGAAGACTGACTAAAGCTCTTTCCAGCACTGAAGCTCAACTCAACAATGCCCGACTCACAGCGCTGGCACACACGCTAACTGGAAAGGTAGTGTACTGTACACCTCTGGGAACAGAACGCACACTTTCCAAGCACTTAGGATAGCACAATCACAGTATTGCATTCACTCTATATGTGTTTTGTTTAATAAGGTTTACTTAATGAACTGAATTTGAAACTTCAGAATGAGGATTTAAAACATTGGGTGAAAAGTGTTGAATGGTTAGATGTTCTGCCATCTGGACCACCGGCACCTACATTCAATTACTTTCTACAGTTTGCCAGATGAATGCATTAATAATTCAAAACATTCCAAATGTACTACATTGTATCTGTTCGTAACAGTTTTATCTAAGTACATATTTTAAGGATATTGTTCCACTGAAGCATTAATCTAACTTTCAGAAACCTATGTAATAAATTCCCCAGGAAACGCTATAAAAACACTCAATGCCAGACTCTAAATCCAGCCTAATTCATGTAGCGTTTAAGGTCCACGGTGCAGCTTTAGGGGCAGTGCTTATGGCCTCAACTACAGAATTACTGCAGTAATAACAGGAAGCTAACATTATTATTACACACCATTACTGAATGCAGCAGTCCTGCTGCCATATTCTAATTGTGTGTATTACACACAATTATAGAATGACTATGGCATCGCTCTGTCAAACAATGCTATTTTGTGGGTTTGCAATTACTCAAAAAAGACTGGATGAAAATGTAGAACATAGGACTTCTTTGTTCTCTGAACGGGCTCAGCAGATTGGCTGATGCTAAATTTGCCGCTGGATTCTTCGTATCTGACTGCAAAATCACTGGCTCCAAGCTTGCGCCTTTGCACCAATCATAAGCTTTCCCTTGCATTAACCTCTGGTTTGAATCGCTTTTTCAGTGATTGACAGATTACTTTTTTGGCAAATCTAACTATCCTGGGGTCCATAAAGTATAAATCTCGCCCAATCACAGAGTCGGGC